CTCCACCCCTTTCTCTCCCCCTACCGCCCGCGAGCCGAGCCCGGCTGGAGTCGTTGCCGGCGCTGTTGCGTCACCGCGCCGACGCCGCTCGGTCTACCCTTGCATCAACACTCGGCACCGGCTCGGCTGGGCGGGGACCGGCGGCGGGTACTTACGCGCCTCGGCTCGGTATAGGTGGAAAGTATGCGGTGACGCTCGCCCCATGCCAAGCCGGCGTGTGGGGCACGAGGAGTAACCGCCAGGCGCGGCATGGCCGGGGAAGGGTGGGTAATCGCCCCCCCCCTAAACGTTTCTAGTGAGCTGCCTGAAAGATAGGCAATTTGGGTCACAAAACGCTTGGTAGGCAACCCACGGTGCACCCCCCCCTCCCAATGTCAGCCGGACCTTATACCGTACCTGGTAACCGCTCGCTCGGAATACAGGGTGTAGGACGACGTACCTTTGGGGGTTGCGGGCAAGAAAATGTTGAGGACCGCTAGGGTAGGTGTTCCAAGCCGCACCCCTTGTGGTTATGCTGTAACACATGTTGGCGTGCGAGCGGCCTGGGGCCTGGCGCCGTGGTGAGAGCCTGCAGGCAAGCCCGCCCGCCTGCATGCGGTACAGTATAAACAGGAGGGAGTGCGGCTTGACTCACTCACCCTTGTAACTGCACTCGAGGCGAATCGGTGCAGGGATACTTGGCCGTGAAAAATGGACGTCAGATCGTCACATAGCATGTGGCTGATTCGACCCGCATCTCTTCGCTCCCGTTGGTTGGCTGCATCGCATGCATCCGTCCTGGCGGGTTGCCTACTCTCCGGGTCTCGGGTTGTAAGGCAAGAAAGACGTACCTTCGATTGAAAGCCGATTCCAGTGTAACTAAAGGGCGTTATCTTCCAATCATAATGTGTCACATTCTGTAACCACGATGCCAATGGCCTGGGGCGAGTATGCACCCCATTCTTATGTGTGCATTCTGTACTGCACTGCACTACGCTCTAAGCTACTGTAGCTCTAGATCCCACACAGGCGCTAGGCTAGGCGAGGCGTACCTCAAAGCCTCGCGCCGCGGCACACAGTGCCGGGCACTCGGTGCCCCTTGTGGTGTACCCGCCTGGCGATAAGGAGGGTACGGTCCGGCCGGCCGCCTCTCGGCCGCCTCGCCCCACTCCACCCTCCCTGCCTCGGCTCGCATTCTCCGCGGACTGTAGGTACCCCAAACACAGAGGCCTTCCCCGCGGTAGTCCCTGTGCGGCGCACACCAATTTTTACTCGAACTTTGGTTCCATTCTACCAGGTGGCTGATTAACCCCGCGCACTTCTGTTGCTTCTGTAGTTATACTGTACCGCACGCACGAGTGCGGGCGGGTTGCCTACTCGCCCGGCCCGTAAGGCGCCGTGGGCAGGGGCGATAGGCAAACCCCGCCCGCACTCCTGCGTGCGGTACAGCCTAACTACAGAAGTGCGCGGGGTTAATCAGCCACCTGGTACTGTACCGCACGCAGGAGTGCGGACGGGCTTGCCTGTGCGCTGCGCCTTACGGGTGGAGCGAGTAGGCAACCCGCACGCACTCGTGCGTGCGGTACAGTATAACTACAGAAGTGAGCGGGGTTAAGCAGCCACCTGGTGTATCGGGAAAAGGAAAAGGCAGGGGGCTAATCTCCCACAAATGAGTCATTTGATCTTTTTGCCGTGCAAATTTTAACTGAAACCACCAAAATGGGTCGAAAGTGCCATGCATAACACACGGCGCCCTTTTTCTGAATGGAAGTAGCTCATTTCATTCGCTCACCTGTGTCGGCCACCAGAGCTCGGGGCTCGGTCTCCGATCAGCTGCTGTAGGCGCTAGGCTGTCCGGGTGCACTCACGACATGGCACTCATTGTTATCCTTTGCTTGATACTTTAGGTTGCACTTGGATGCACTGTGGCCGGCCGTGGTGCACTGGGGTGGGCGTGCACTACTGGATGACGCTTTAGGCCGGTGCACTGGCACTACTCTGGTGCTGCGCTGGACCAGCACTGGACGATTCAGCCGGACTCGGCGCGGTGCTCAGCGCTGGACTGGCGCGACAGGGGAACGACAGGGGCTCCACTAGGAGGGGCTTTAGGAGGGGCGGGCCAGGCTTGCCTCATGGCTCGCCTCATGGCCAGGCGCAGGCGGCGGCCCAGGCACCTCCGTGCCTCCAGTCCCCCACTTAGCTCGCATCGCATAAGTTCGACCCTCCAGGATAGTCCTCGCGCTACTCAGAGGGAATATCAAAGTAGGGATGCGTTTGGCCTCTGCTGTTCGACAACGAACGAGGGCGTTAAGTTCTGTTCGGTCTCAAACCGCAGGTCGTTCAAATACTAGCGCCAAATCTCGCGCTGTGTGATTGGCTGCCGCGTCACGCATGCGCAGAGGCCGGCACGAGCCGAGGCTGAGCTGAGATTTGTTATTATTGTGGGTCAGTGGTTGACTGGTCCCTTTTATGTTTATTTTCTTCGTTTAAGTTAAGCATACGGAATAGTTATCTTCGAGGTCGTGAGTGTGAAATGTAAATGAGTGAACTGTGTGCAATGGAAGGTACGTCTATTTTGGGAGAAAGGGATTTCTATGAAAATGTGACTTGACAAGGTCTTAACCTCTATTCCAACCACCTTGGAAATTTAATCATAACGATGTGAAATTCCCTGGTGCCTTAATAAGAATTATTACAATCAATTTTGGCCGAAAACTCTAAAGTTTCTCATTTCGTGATGTTCTTTGTTTTTTAGAACTTTGTAGTTTTATTATGGATTTTATTTTGTTTGAATTATTATGTGGAGTAGTAGTCTAATATTTATTGTTTACCAACTTTTCAGTGGATTCTAGGCATCAAGATGCTGAGTCAGAATACTTGAGAGATTTTTGGATACCGCTTAACAACACTGTTGAGGCATTCCTGCATCCCAGTAGCCAAACTAGCCCAATATCCTTTCAGGAGACCTTTACTTTGGTTTACAAATGTGTAGGAGAAGGATATTCTGACCGCCTGCACTGTGATCTTATGCATGCTGTCAACAAGTACTTAAAGAATTTACACGTTGAATTGCTTAAATATCTAACTGACGGCAATGATGGTCGACAGGTAAATGATACTCAATGTCATTGTAAATATCACATATAATATCTTTTTGTTCTATCTTGCAAATTATTCTTTTTGTTTTACAGGATCAAGGCATTATCCAAATGATTCACATGTTTGATTCAGCTTTAGCAGATTATATTAAAGCTGTAAAGGGAATTTCTGCTACTTTTTCTTACCTTGTAAGTTTCTTTGACTTCACATTCAATTTTAGTGTTGCTCCTGATGATCTCTAATTCTAGTCTAATTATGGTTGTTAAAATTTCTGTGTTGCATGTGTTTACAGGGAAAGTACTTTGCTCAGAAGAAGAACTATAAGACTTTGGAAGATGAATTAACATTAATGTTCTGTGTGGAAATAGCTGAACATTTTATTCATGACATACTATGTAAGTTTTGTCTTCCTAGTATTTTTAACTTCTGAAATAATATAATGAGAGCAACTTGTCTTTTCCCTTAGGCTGTGTTGAAAGATCTCCACCTTTCACGCTGGATCCAGCATTGTTAAGCCGTCTCTTCCATAATTTACAAATAGTGTCCCGTGATTTGTATGGTACATTATATAGCAAATTATTTGCTAGATTTGTCACAGATGCTCTTCCTCGTATGCATGAAGCGGATTTAAATTCTCATATTGCTGAGGTACATGAGCTCCAAGCACAGATGAGAAGAGAACTTGACCAGTCAAAAGTGTCCAGTGCTGAAAGTAGTGCAGTTCGAAACCCTGCTCATAAGCGCTCAGCAGATGATTGTGATTGATGTTACAGAGGTTACAGTGTTGAGAGCATAGAATTTACGCTGACCTTATTATTTCTAATAATTATAACAATTTCCCTCTCAGCTGTATAAAAAACGGCTATCCAGTAGAATTTTAATGGTACTACAAGGTTGTCCCACTTTGTTATTTTAATAGAAGTAAGACTTTCAAAAAGTGTCTAGTCATTTAATTTGATGAAAGTGCCTGCAATAATTCTAGGCTATCTTTTAGTCTTATAGGAAATTTCTTTTGCATTTGGATGTAATGCACTACCTGCTCTTTGTCTTGCTCGTGACTTCCTTAATACTTAACTTCAATGTTAGGATTGAAAATCGTAAATAATTTCAGTTTTAGACCTGTAGCAAGAGAACAGTACAATAAAGAGCAATTTCCTCCATATCATATACTGAAAATGAGCAGTATCCATGTTACATTATTGTATTCAAATATAATGAACAATGTACCAGGAAATGTACCACAAGGTTAGCATTGATGACAACTATTATTTAAGCTCCTTGTTGTGAGACATGGTTTGAAATTTGGATGTCTATTACTAATTAGGTTGAAATGAAACTTCTAGTTGCATGTGATATACTTCCATTATTTTCAGAATTGAAGGTATGATTTGTAAGTCTGAAGAAATGAGTGATAAAAAAGTGCTTTATGAGTGTCCTCAAGTTGACATCCTTAACTGTTATAGTTTCATAGTTTTTATAGTATTTAGTTTGAAGAGCACTTAAGCTTGCAAATGAATCACAGACTACAGATGCCTTAATTGGAAGTGGTTGTACTTGTTTGCAAAAGATAAGCTTACTTGTGTAAATGTTGTGAATATGAACATCTCAGTATATATCCATCTATGATTTGATGTAACATTATCCTTAGGGTGGTTGAAGAGTACTGAAAATTTTCCATGTGGCACAACCAACACATGAGTAAGAAATTAGTGCTCATTCAAGAGGCCTACACTTCAATCCTGTTAATTGTTTGAAATTGCCCCCATTATCTGATTGTGCTTTGTGTTGAAGGGGTAGTTTCCAACTTAAGTTTGTATCAGTATTAGATATATATATTTTAAAAAACACTTCAGTTAAATAAATATGCTCCTTGAGCTTCCCTCCCATGAAGCTACTGTTGTCCTGTTCTTGAATGGATTAAAATAGGAAGAACAATAGCAAGAACTCAAAATTCAAGATCACCCTTGTGAGTTTATTACTCGAATGTAAAAACAATGTTCAAAACAAATGATAGCACAAATATATGGTTATGAATATGCTTCACTTAAGTAATGCAATTTTCATTGCATAGAGAAGCAAGTCCTGATAGATTTTGCAGGACAGTTCAGGCAACACACGCAACCACAATGATCATAGTTGATCCAAAAAATAGTTAAGAGATGCAATTTAAAATTGTCCAAGTCACAACTAAGATTACTTGGCCTGAAACAGCAGATGGCAACATTTCCAGTCTAATGGATCCAACCTGGTCACACAGCTCCATGAGCTGATAATGTGACCCCATCACAACCCTTCAACGAAGTTAATTCAATTTGCATGATTTATAATGAGGTTTGAATGCAAAGTGCCTCTAAGAGGTAGGCACGGTGGACAGTCATGAGAAGAACTACAAACTAGTAAACTACCAGGAAAATTTTGCTTAGTCTAACCACAAAACACTCACATAAGGCACAAAATTTGAATATAAATCAAAACAATGCATTAAAATGAATGTGGGCTTAGTTTCAGCAAAATAAAATAGTTCATGTGATAGCGCCTTTAACAGATGATTGGAGATGGAATCGAAAGAGCTCTTCGAGATGAGTGGATTCCTATCCTGAAATCAGACAAATAAAATTATAATTAGCACGATTGTGTGAAGGGCAGAAATGATAGGATTAAGCAATCAAACTGAGAACGAAGCAAAGTTGTGGGACTAAATTGCACTGTACAGTGGTCGTTACAAGACCTAATATGACGGTAAAGATAACGGTGGAAGTAATTACCTCGCCACTGCCAGATTTTCCAGAGTTGTGGAACTTCAACAGCATTTACTCCGACTTCTTGTCTTCACTCACAGCCGCTTCCTCCTTACTGGCATCGTCGAAGTTGCCGACGAGTTCTGGAACCTCATCCTCCTCGTCGATGGCCAGCTTGGCGCCACCAGCACTTGAGGCGACGCTTGATGCAAGACGTTTGAGCTGAGTTAGGCCTTCAGGGCCGAGCTGACTCAGAATTCCTGGGAGCATCTCTGTGATCTGCTTGGATTCCGCATGGCCGGTGATGGCAAAGGTGTTGGCGGCTAGAGAGGCCTGGGCCTTGGGGTTGTTGAAATGGATCACAGTGCCGTCATCCTTGATCATATTAACCTCCTCGATGCCGGGGATTGTGTTTACTGAGAGCTTCTTAAGTGAACTTTGCAGTTTCTTGTCGTCGGTGGCGGCTGTCGCGTGCACAACCTTCTTCTTCCTACGAGGTGTGCCTTTGCCTCCTATGCGGACTTGGGCCGACTGCTGTTGCAGCTTCCTCAGTTTCTCTGCGTTCATGATGGTAAAGGACGTTGAACACAAAATTTGTGAAAAACCGGCTCCCGGGGTCGCAACAAACAGTTAGCGACTAAAGACTTGCTCGTTCACAACACAAAGGACCTTTGTTTAACCAAACAAAATTTCTCAAACACGTGCCTCAAGCGTCTCCGACGAGGAGCGGAGAAAATGGACGATTCATGCACTGTAGCCAACTTCCAAAAATGCCGGTCGGCGGTGAACCTCGGCGGGGTCCGTTCAAATGCACGCCTTTTTTGCTGGTTCTTGAATGACCGCTTCTCCACGATCGGCTGTTCAACAAGTATAAAATCACTTATTGCCAAGATTTCTGAAAATTTAATGATGATATATCCACTTTCCTCTTCGATAAAATAAATTGCATGTTTTTCGATGCTGAAACAAAGTTTAGAAAAGGTTCGAACGAGACCAACTTTATACTTGTGGTCCCACTGTCAATTTCCGGTTGACAAGCTAACAAGCTCACGAATCCCTCGGATCCCGCCCAACATTCTTCCCCCACCACCTTTCCCCGAAAATCACAACTTCATCAACCGTTCACGCACTAAATACCCTGATGCCTATGTTTTGATGTTCATTCGCAGATAAACTAAGCTGTAGAGGCGCCCTGCCTTAGTTATTCATTAGTTACGGAAATTCAAAAAACTGTTGGTCATATTTCCACCCCTTGGGTGCGCAGTGGGGGGTCTCGTTCAATCTGGTTCTGATTGATCATGTTGCTTGTCAGGACCACCTTAGCAGAAGCAGAAAGCATTTTGTGATTGTGGTCTGTTTGCTTGCCGGAACAGGTGATCACCCTGATCTGGTGTGAGAAAACATATTTCACTCAGAATATTGATCTGTTCACTATCTGTTATAGTTGTTTCTCAATTAATAATCATGGCAAGCATGTTACCACCAGTCATGCTTACTTTACCTGAAGCTCAAGAGGAATTTCACGACTTGTTGCGGAAACTTAGGGACCCCCATAACCAAAGGAAACTCATTGATTGGATTAAATATAATTGGAGAGAAGGTACGACCGACAAATTAATTTTTCAATGAATCATTTTCCTTTTTAAATTTTTCAAAGTAGGTCATTCTTAGGTGTCCTTGACTCTAAATTCGTTAATGGTTTTTATGTTAAAAAAAACTTTCAGATGATGAGGAGTCTCCTGAAGGTATACTGAGATCAATAGCTACTGATGTTCGCCTTCATCTTCCAATCGAAGCTGTACTCCCATCCGAAAAAATTATTGTGCCGACTACTGGAGAGGTATGTGAGGCCCATCATGAGTGAGTCATACAAATTCCTGGTACATTCACACATAATTTACATGGGGTATGTATTACTATTATATTACAGAACTCTGATTGTGATCCAAAGTATACAAGACATGTAGACTCTTTCCTATATGATAATGAATTGCTACATGAACTCACAGCCAAGGGAGTGATTGAGTCACACTATTGTGTGCAATGTGGATCCACCAAAACAAAATCACTCAGTAAGAAAGCAAAAGTATATGTTATGATCAAACTTTATTTTTACTTCAAAATATAATTGGTTTCTTTTTCTCTACTCCAGCTTTTATATCTCATTCAGCTTCACGTGCTCAAATAGCGTATATGTATAATGTCCTATTGCCACCCTTAGATGACGATAAGGTGTTGCTGGATGTTGGCTCCCGTTTGGGTCCAATTTTGTATGGGGTAAGGCAATATACTTATTCTTTTTGAATGTTTAAATCATTCTTTGTCTCTCTTCTTTTTCTTCAATTCACACAGGGAATACTGTGAAATTTTTGAATACTGGCACTCTAGACATTTTCTATAACATGTATGTGGTTTTTCAATATTCAGGCATACCTTTATACAAATGTTGGAAAAATATATGGCATTGAAATAAATGGTGAGCTCTGTAGAATGCAAAGGGAAATTGTCATGAAATATGGCTTCCAGGTACAGCAATTCTTTCACGCATACTACTTGGTTGTTTGTTTTTTGGTACATCTGTAATATTTTATCTTCTTTTACTAGGATCGAATTGAAATAATTGACAGTAGTATTGAACAACGCACTGACTTGCTTGCCTCCGCTGATATAATTGTGCTGAACAATGTGTTTGAATTCTTCATGGAACCAAATGAGCAGATTAAAATGTGGAAACTAATATTTGAACGAGTGAAAAAGAAAGCTCTTCTAGTTACGTGTCCTGCACTCGATGTCACTATGGAAAGCCTGCCGGTATGTTAGGCTCTTAATCTAATTTGATATCCGTGACATTTGGAGATTCATTGTCTATTTTTCTTTTTGCTCTTTAGGACGTTGGAATTGATATGGATAAATGGGTGCAAGAATTGGATGTTTTTAACATGGATGCCCCAGATATGCCAACTGATGACCCTGAGCTCAAGATGATTCATCTCTATGAAGTCATTAATCCAGGAAAAACTAATTAGTCACTCTCCTTCTATTAAGGCTTTGAAAATTATTTATCATGAAAGACTTTTACAATTTTTTATCTACATGTAAGGCTCTAATTTTTTCTTGACAGACTGGTTTGTATACACAGCCTGTTACTGTAACTTGTGTGTTGATTTATGGCCTTAGGAAAGTCATTTCCCACTGCAAACCATTCTGATCCCAATACCTCTGCCCTGCAATGTAAGTTGTAACTACATATTTCATCCATGTCTTTGTTAACCATTCCAACTATGACTCTACATATAACATATAGTTAAAGAGTTAGCTGTATTATTCAAATTTCATATGGGAATAAACCACAATAATGGCCATGTATGTTAACAAACTCAAACCCAAAGAATAAATTGACAAACAAAATGAACGATTTCATGAAATATTTGTTCTTTTAATATAAATAATGGATTTATTTTTAATGTACAAAGTGGCTGCTATCCACGTGAGATTTTTTTTGCAGCAGGTCATAACGAACACTGTTGAGAAAATAGATAGAAAATTACACACAGTTACCAGATGAAACAAAAATTAGAGGTAAAAATGTGTAGCTCACATAGGAAATAAAAAAAATTCCATTGAAAAATGGAAAAAATTTCCTTCATCAGAAATAAAATTGATTACTGAGACTGTCTTCTGAGTAAACAAGAAAAAAAAAGAAATAACAGAAAACCTAACAACTCAAAGAAGAAGAGTATGGGTGTATTACATCTATTTAGTAAGTAGAGAAACCTATCTGCCAAGTCTGCTAAAAACACCAGACTTAGAAGATATCTTTTCTGATGGTGATGGGCCGCTGAAGGTTACCCTTTTGATGGAACTGGCAGTGCCACCTCCATTCATTTTTGCAAAATCAACCCTCTGTTTGATTGGGCCAGCAGCACCTATGGCTCGTGGTACTGGTTTGAGGCGTACTGTCTGCAATCAAATTAAATGACAGCAACATTCAAAAATCAGAATTACTCAATAATAGGAAAAAAAATAATAATTTACAAACCTGTGGTGCTCTTGATGTTTCATCAACTCCTAATCTTGACTTGACAGACCTACTGATTTCTCTGGAGAAGCCAGCTAGAGAAATAAAACTAATTTTAATCAATATTGTAAAGAGAAAATGAGATAATTATCTAACACCGGATTTAAATTCTAACTTCTTTTAGAGCTGTGTCATACCTAGAATACCCTCAGTTTTTACAAGTTTTACTGGCTTGGAACCAGGTAAAACTGTAGCCAAACGTTTCACTTCCCCAGTTTTCCGTGGAATCATTACAACTGTAGCAGAGCGCTTCATCCCATAGTCCTGTTTGGGAATGGAAACAATTGTGGCTGAACGTTTAACGGTTGGCACTTCTTTTGTCATGCCTATTCTACTTTGAACATCACTGCGATTCGCAGTAGACAGAGAGTCAGCAACCATAGAGGATGTTCCTGAAACAGTTCAAAACCACATAGTATTACAAAAACACCAATTAAAATGTTAAAGAAATAAATAAATGTTTACACACTTGCAACTACAGTTGCCCTTTGAACAGGTTTGGTAACAGTATTTTTGAGGATTCCTGGATGTGAGGCATTGTCCTCAGTTCCTGGTGGTATTGAGGTAGAAGAAACCTGTTTATCTCCTAACCTACTGAAAACCGATGTAATCTGCAAGAAGTAATAATACCAGTTATTTATAATAATACATGAACAAAATTTTAAAATAGCAAAATAATTAGGGAAAAGGTGGTCACCAAAAAAACATACCTTTGACTTTTTGGTTCCTTCAAGGCCTGTTATGGTAAAAGTTGGATCAGATGTGGTACTAGAAACAGCTGAAACAGCTGCTGTCACAGGTTCAGTGACAGGTGAGGTTGATCCCCCTAGGCGGTCAAACACTGTTTTCTTACTGGCAGCTACAAAAATACAAAACAAAAAACAAATTGTTACAAAAACTAGGAACATAAAATTGATTTAAAATATTGAAAACAATAACAACACGACAACTTACTTTCTTTCTGTTTTGCAAGAATTTGTTGACTGCGAGGGGTCGACCCTGTTGGCATTTTAATTTTGTACCCACCTTCATGCTCAGGCAGAACTCGTCTCACCTTCTTTACAGGGACTTGAATTTCTTCAAGGTCCACTTTTTCACCAGCAGACTTTGACCTTGAAATTTCCCCTGACCTTCGCTTTAAAGACTCTATAAAATTAAAATATGAAAAATAATTTTAAAAATTGCTGATGTTCAATCAAATTTAGAAAAATACATATAAAAATGTATATGGGCAATCGCAGGTGACAGGTAAGGTTTTGCCTGTACCCCTCAACCCCAAATTATGCTGTCTGTCCAGCTAAATGCTTCAAATAATTTCTGATAAAAAAAAGCAGAAAAGCATGGACAAAATACGCTCTTCTTAAAAAAATAGGTAAATTTAAAAAATTACACCCATACCTGGCTGAGATTCTGTTTTCTTTGCAGAGGTTTTTTCTGATGATGTGCCCATTGATCGTGATAAGGCGGAAGAAGAAGCAGTAGTGCGACCGGGTGGAACCGGCCTTGGATTTGGGTCAGATATACGAGAAGGAACTGGAAAAAGTAAAAGTTAGTAAAATTGAACCATGCATAAACACTTAAAGTGAATTTTAACTTACCAGAAACTTTTTTAGGTGGTGATGGAGCTGATGAAGATTGAGAAGAAGAGGATGAACTATTGAAAGAACTACTTGAAGTGCTTGTAGATGGAGCTTTCAGTACCTTTGTGCCTTTCAACAACTTTGCTGTTCCAGCACTGATTGATGATTCTTTGACATTGCTTGACACTGGTTTAATAGAGCTACTAGGTCCTTTGGCAGATAATAACAATCTTTCATGCGTAATCTGCAAGTAAGGAATGCGAGATGTGAGAAATAATGGTCAAATGAGCATTTAAGGATTAAGAATTGTGAAGCTTGAGACGAGTCTCTGTTCATGTATTATCAACATAAACAATGATGGTTCGCTTACCTCTTCATGGACTTGACGAGCATGTCGTAGAATTGCAATGACATCACCCATAAGAGTGATACCCATATCACGCAGATACTCTTTGTTAAGGTCAAGTAGCATATCCAATTGTATGCGATTGTCAGCAAAAGTAAGGGCATAAGTGGCAGCTGCACGCTGTGGTATACCAGCTCTGGTAAAGAACTTGACCCATTTTTCTGCAAATAACATTTTAAAAGTTAAAATATTGCTAAGAAAGAACTAGTAAACATAACCTTAGAAATACCACTCAGGTCAGGGCAATGAATGTGGTGCTGTTCTTAGATCATATCAGACGATCTAGTAACAGCAAAATTATTTATTTAATGGAGAGAAGACGAAAATATTGAGTTACAATATCTATACGCAAATGAAGAGCATAGTACTTAAGCGACAGATCCGGTAGGGCATCAAGCGGTATGTAAAAAATTGACAAGTATCTTGTAAATGACCTGCAGCACGCAAACTGTCAGAGTCAACGACTTTAATACGTATTCGTACAAAGGAAGGAGGTCTTACCCGTGCTAACAGCAGCCATTTTCAGTTGGAAATAGCCACACGCATACAAAAATAAATATAAATAGTCTTCTCTACTTCGTTCTCCGTGTTATCCTTTCTTCCCTTCTCCTTCTCCCTCATCCCCTTCTCTCCCTCTCCCTCTCTCCCCCTCCTCCTCTCAAGAACAAGACGTGTAGTTGCAGAAGGCGCAGAGGAATAGTCTCAATCCATCCCCGTATAGTATATCAATGCACCAATAATGTGCCTCAGCCTCAAAGAGCAGAAAGGGAAAGGAGGAGAGAGGAGTAGGGAAGGGGCGGGGAGGGGGAGTGTCATGTTTCGTTGTGGTGGTAGTGGTGGTGTACTGGACATGTTTATCTGGAAGTGCAATCTCAGCTCGTCGACTCAGCGAACAAAGTCTACTGGAGAATCACATGGTGTGGACAGACAATAAGTGGGTGGAGTTAGGGATCCGTATTTGAAAAGTGTCACTCACATCAGTGCAGCTTGCAGCAAGTTCGTAGTAGCATCTTCCTAGTGACAGTAAGTATTTTCATTTTATAGGTTGTTGCCATCATGACTTGTGTGCTATCAATGTTGAGGTAGGCTGTCCCAGTCAAAGTAAAAGAAAGACTTACAACCTTACTACTCACCTGCTGGAATTGAAAAAAGCTCCTCCTTTTATTTCAAACTCTCACTTAACTGCTTTAATTTTTTTTTAAAATATATCAAGGGGTGTATGTTTGTTGATTAGTAATCCGAGATTTGTCTCCCTACATTTTACAATTTCCTTATGTATGATTACTATGGCAGCAGCAGTAGAAGGACTGACCCTACTTTTTTCCTTTGTTTACAGCACTCATTCATCATGGAGTGGACCAAATACCGAATGTTTCTGGCCTTACTATTGGTCGTTACAGGATCAATCAACACTTTGAGTACAAAGCAAGTCCTTTGGCTTATTGTTATTGATGGTACATATTACCTATGCTAATTAGATTTTTTACTAACTTATGTTTTTTATTTACTTTAGATGGGCTGATTTTATGGAATCTGTTGGTCTTGATGGACAGAAAAGACATTTTGTACACCCTTTTCTTCAGGCTAGTACAATGTTCCTCGGAGAAATGGCTTGCCTTGCTACTTTTAAAATTTTATATTGGTACTACTCTCGCCGTCAAGTATGTGTTTTGATCTACCACTAGTATTAACAAACATATTTGTGTGCCATGTTTAACTTATTCCTTCCAATTTTTCGTTGAATTTAACATTTTAGGATGGTTCTGAGAGTCAAGAAAAGACAACTGCCGGTAATACAAATTTTAAAGCACTTATTTTACTTCCACCTGCCATGTGCGATATGATTGCTACATCAACAATGTACATTGGACTCAATTTGACTTATGCATCATCATTCCAAATGCTCAGAGGTATGTACATATATTAAATAAGACACCTCTATGGAATTATTGATGTTTGAATGTGGGCCCTTATTTTAAAGAGGTTTGTTGTGTTTTTAGGATCTGTTATTGTGTTCGTGGCACTTCTGTCAATGGCATTTTTGGATCGCAAATTACGCTGTGTTGAATGGTTTGGAATAATTTTTGTTTTAAGTGGATTGTCAGTTGTGGGTATGTCTGATTTTGCATCAGGGTCTTCCTCTGAACACAAGGACACCAACTCTATCATTACTGGTCAGTAAACACAATATATATTGATGTTTTATCTGCTCATATCTCTGATATTACTTGCACTTGAATATTCAACCCCTACTTTTATTTATAGGAGATCTTTTAATTATTGCCGCACAAATCATTACTGCATTTCAAATGGTGTATGAGGAAAAGTTTGTTAAGGACAAAGATATTCCTGCGCTAATGGTTGTGGGCTATGAAGGTACTTTTTCTTGTCACTATTTTATTACTTGAAGTTGCACTTACTGTCTTTAGCTCTTACATTATTTTTTGACAGGCTTGTGGGGCTTTGTTGTATTGGGGAGCCTGTTGGTTCCATTTTATTGGATCCCAGCATATCCACCATTCAGTGAAAATCCTCGCAATGTCCTCGAGGACACACCTGATGGACTTGTTCAGTTATTTAACAATGGACTCCTCCTCTTGGCTATGTTTGGTGTGTAACATGTAAATCCAACTCTCTGTAAGCCAATACAATACATTTTGTTTCTTAAAGTTCTCTAATTTTGCATGATCTTTAATTTTTAGGAACATTTGTCAGCATTGCATTCTTCAACTTTGCCGGTGTTAGTGTAACGAAAGAAATGTCAGCAACAACCAGGATGGTTTTGGATAGTGTGAGAACTCTGGTCATTTGGGTTATTGGCCTTGCTTTAGAATGGCAAACATTTAATTACTTGCAGGCAAGTTACACTGCAGCTCTTGAAAGTAAGTACTGGTACAATGCATCAATCACTGACAATCACTTAAATTTCACAGGTTATTGGATTTGCTTTGCTGTTGGTTGGCATGTGTCTCTACAACAATGTACTTCTTGAACCAGCCTTCAAGAGGTTCATGGGTTACATGAACAGACGTGCTGCCTCCACAGGACGCTTTGCCAGAATGGAAGAGGAAGAAGCTGGTGTTTTAGATAGCCAACGAGCTGATAGAGCTACAGCTAACTAAAAAAAATTATACTTTTCAGTCTATTCCTATTCAATTTGGCAATCAAATATTGCAAAGGCACCTAAACAGAAGACAAGTGTTTCATTCACAACATCAGTATGATTTATATTTCTGGCCAGCTATCTATGCTGTCCACATAATCTCAAACAATGAGCATTTTCTATTTCAGGATGAGAACTTCTTAATACCAGTTATAATTTTTCTTTGTTTAAATGATTGCAACTTCATGTTGAGGGCCTTGAAAGACTGATGGTAAAACAGTGATCTTTTCATTTTTGGACTTTTCTTATTTCTGAACCATTTAGATCTGAGTTCACTGTGGCAATTAATCAATTCCGTGGAAAAAATATTTTTGCTTCAATATAAACTTACTTGTTGCCATTTAATTCATTTTATAAGTACTGTAGTAAATATTGTGATATTGGCTCCTATGAATTTTTGTTTGTAGGAGCATAAATTGAATCCTACCCTTTCTTGTACTATGTATATTTTACTGACATTATTACTAAGTAAAGAAATTTTCTCATACAACTTCTGTGAAATATCTTAATCCCATGTCTTTATTAAATTTGTAATCAGGCAAAGGGAGCAAGGTAACTTAGGATCTAAAGTTGAAAGGTGTTTGTCGACTTGAGTTTATTTTACACTTTGTTATGACAATGGCACATACAAATACATACAACTAGCCCATATTGAACTTATTCCATCCTTATGATTTGAACATTAACATTAGGAGGTAATGGAATGTAAATGAAAGTATCTGTTTTGAGAATCTTTTACGTAGATTTTAACAATAATAAGGAAAATGTTCCTTTTAGCCATTAGATTTACTAGAGGCATTTGAGGAAGAAACCAGTGAACAGTATCACAATTGGTAAAAATTACAATTTGCTTGGTTTCACAAAATTTAGGACAACTCAAACAAGTAAGAGGGATTGTCCATGACAATTGGTAATTCAGGAAGAACAAACATGACCATTGCATCTAGAATGGTACAAAGATAAAACATGATAACATGAAGTTTCCATACACACAGTATGTGTATGCACAAACAACCGAGTTCTTTTTAACAAGATACATACACATACAACAAATTGAAATTTATTGTACAGGCATTCAGAAAGCCACGTTCACCCATATAAATATATCTATATAAATATATTTCTATAAATATAGGTACGTATAAATATATAAATAAAATAATTCCTTAATACAAAGAGGCAAACAGCGCCTGTAAAGTAAAGACCATGATAACTGATGATTCTCTGACATGGAAAGCAATGATACACAAATGAAAGTGCAGATTTGGAAAGATTTGTCAGGAGATTTCAGCATGTTGACTAAAGTAATACTGAAAATTTCATTAGAGGGAAGTGATATATGAGTCATTGTTTTATGGTCCCATAGGGGTTGCACATAAAAACTATGGTTTATAAGAGCGAGATGCTCCCAAATGTGTTTAAATTTTATCAGCTACAACTGACTTGTTAAGAAAATAACTAACAAAAGTCTTGTTAGCTATCCAAACTTACAGACGATGGACAATGTTAGAAACCTGCAGTAGAAAAGGTATAGAAACGTGTGATAAGATTAAGGAATCAGTCCATAACTAGATTAATTTAAAGCCTTTAAAATGAAACCAATCATATTCAGATAAAATCTTAAAATACTGTTCATGCATTTAAAATACTGTCTAAAGTAAGAATCATTATTACACAACCATTTCATAACATACATTATCCCAAAAACAAGTGACTTACAAGGTTGAAAAAAAACTTAATACAAGAAAAAATGAAAACTGTTTTCCCCCTTGAATTTATTAATGAACTCCCTACAGTTCTGTTGTCATATGAGAAGTTAAAGCCTGTACTCGTTTGGCATTACAACTCTTGCACAAAACATGATCATCAAGTGGGTAGCATCCTCGCCCTTCAGCTTCTGTAGATAAAACAAGACCACAGTCCTGAAATAAAATTGAATCAGTGATTATGGTTGAACAGGAAAAGAACTACTAAACCACAAGTCTCTTGGACAGTTATTATGAAATACCTCGCACTTGTAGCATTGAATATGGAAGCTTCTATCCAAGGCTACAACTCTAACGGTTTCATCTTGTCCTGCTTCAGGCATGATAGGAAGTTTGCAAACACAGCATCGAGGAGCAAATTTCCTGAGAAAATACAAGTACCACAATGTTCACAAGCGGTTTTAAGAAAAGAATACAACTGATCTTAGATAAGATTACTGTACTTATGAAAGTCTTGAATGCAATGGATTTGGTTGGTTGCATCAACTGTGAAAGGAATGCCATCGAGGGACTCTCCACAGACTACACAACAGAAACACTGAGGATGATACGGACGGCCAGTCGCACGAAGAATACGATCCAAAATAGGTTGGAGGCAAACTGAGCATTTTTCCAAAGTATTCTGCAAATGAGATGTAAGTGGTTATAATCACATTAGACAGATATAGATGGTAAAGTAAAAGTTGATTCTGTTAGTTAGCATAACAATGCAATTATTGTCCATAATATTTCTATTTTGCTCACCAAGTAGTCTTCTTTGCAGTATGGTTTTCCTTCCAGTGCATAAAATGGCTTTCCTTGAAGTTGGACAGCACAGTCACAACAAGTAAAACATCTGATGTGATACACTTGATCCATAGCTGTACATCCTGAACCCTCTCCAACAACTTTCTCGCCACATTTTGTGCATATACCTGGTAAAGAAAGAGACAGAGGTAAAATTACAAGGCTACCTGAAAATATTTTTCCTGTGGCAGTCATAGGGCAAGAAAACTGTACTCTCCTTTCAAAACAACCCAGAAAAAGGTTATTTTCTTTGGAAAAGTATTTTAAGATCCACATATTTTGTATAATAATTTAATCTTTTACATCATATTGCTCACCATAGACATCAGAGTCAGTTGATCCATCCATAGACTGTACAAGTAAATCTGTCAGAGCATCAACTTCAGCCTCCTTCTCATTATGAGAAGAACTATGCCCACCACGTTGAAGTGTGCCCTGCGCACTACCTGGATATGGTGCATACAGGGAAAAGTTGGAGCGAGACGACAATTGTGAAGGAGGTCGTGGATTTATAGGCTCATAAATTGATTCATATGTTGAAGAGCTCTGCAAAGAGAATTATTAAAACTTACCAATGACACATTTTGCATTTGTAGAGCAGTCAAATTTACAAAACTTACCTGAGAAGATGATCCATAAGTAGAATAATCCGGAGGATAGTTTGAAGGAAAGCTAGGTGGATATGAAGGCTGGTACCCAGGTTGGTACGTTGCCCGACGTAATTCTGAATAGCTAGAGCTAACAGGAGATGGGGGAGGGGGCAGATCGTCAGGCAGTGTTTCGTGTCCATCTTCTTGAGGTTGTGCATTTGGTTCAGGTGGTGGGGGTGGTAACTCTACAAAATTTAGAAATATTATTTTTGATAATTTCTTGTTTTATCATGATACTTCTCTTCAAAAACTAGGTAAATTTCTGATAGAAAAAACTTACCAGGAGCAGGACTGGAGCCAGCTGCTCCCCTTGCTGCTCGATTGACTTGTGGGTAACTGGGGTAGTTACTGTAAGTGTTGCTGTACAAGGCCTGACCCTGAGCTTCAGGAACGTTACTGTAGGTTGCTGAGTTATTCATTCTGCTATGCACTGCTCGAGAAAATTAATTTATAAGTTCATCAGTTTTAAGTTCAAATAGTGTCCAAAGCAATAGTGTATTTATTTGATTCTAGGCTAGGCCGCACCCTTTTTCTCAATTTTGAAAACTGAAAGGCCGTGTGCGGCTTAGAATCGAGTACACATTTAGCAGGGGTCTAATAAGAGTCTTTCATGAGACTTCTCTGCATGTTGTGGAATGCGTCCGAGAATAGCGTATGACTTGGAATCGATAAAATATGATGATACATGCAATAATTATAAGGAGCATATTGACCCATATTAACTTACCAGGGCTTTGAGTGTGAGGAAGATTGGTGTAAAGGGGAACATTTGATTTGTCTGGGCTGGTTGATCCACCACTTTGCAATGGGATGCTATACGAAGGTTCACAAGGTCCATTTAGAGAATAACTTTTTGGCACCTGTTAAAATATTAATGAAATTATACACGTTAAAGAAATGTAAATGCTACAGATTTAATTTAACAGAAAGAAATAAAGAAACTGACCAGTGGTTGGGACTTTTTAGATGGCTTGGGTGGCACTGCTGGACCAATTTTTCGACTTGGACTTCCTTGTACAACAGCTGAGGTACCTGTTCCAGCAGTGTTTGTTTCCCCATGAGCAATCTGTAGACCAGCTAATTGGTGCTCAAGATGGCTTGCCATTATTGTTCCTGCAACACATACCAATGGAGCGGTGATTCAGTTGACAAGAGTAGACAATGTACAATATTTTTAACATAAAAAACTTGAGGAGAAAATTTTATGACATTTCAGTATTTGAGGAGATGGAGTTAATCTGCACAAATCTGCAGTATGATGAACTTATGAAATCCTTCACAAAATTACATTTTTTTCTGCTACAAGCAAATTCAGTTAAAAGGGTTCTGCACATTCAAGAGAACTTGAAGTAACAAATAAAATTAGCACCAATTTACTCATCAATGCAAGAGCCTACGGGAAGGTCACACGAGTCATGCTATGAACACAAGACAATGACAGATGGATTAGCGCAATTAGTCATCCGACGCGGACCCCAGACCCGACGAAAGCATAGCAGACGAGTCATCGGTCGTGATGTTGACGAACTGACATTGTGATGTGTTCTAGTAACAACGCGATTGGGATGAATTATGTTATCAACAAACGCCCCCTACTCACGGGCCGAATACCATTGCACATACAAACCTTACATAGTTTCTGAAAAAGAAATCTTATAATTCCCAGTGGGCGAATCGACTCTACAAACTGGGGTTGGTCGGCTGCTGGAAGTACAGAAACTCACGTTCGTCCGCACCCGCGAAAGACGGTCCATCCAGTGATGGCGAAGAAAGTGCACAATGACGCCCAAAAAGCGAAGAAATTCAAAGATAAACAAATAAATACAACGTAAATAATAACTTTCCAGAGCTAGGGTGTCGGCTGATCTTGGATGGTGCCGTGCCAGCTAGCAGGGTCACCGCCCACTCCGCCCACGTAACTGCTTCATAACTCAGAAGGCGGGGAGTGAATCAATGGCGCGTATTTTCAAAAATTGTACATCCGCTACTGCTATTTACAGTATTTACCTCAAGTATTTACGTTTACCTTGATTGCCTTGATCTACATTTTCACTGCCTTTCCCCTCTGAAGGGTTCCAGATCGAAATTAAAAAAAAATACAGGATTAAGGAAAAAAACACATTGAATCACTTCTAAAGTTATTTTTATTTCTGTATTTGTGTTGTTTTCTTTGTGCTTTGTGTCATATGAATAATTGTAATCATAATTACATTTTTCCACACTCCATAAATGTAACATATCTTAATTAAAGAGTGAAAAATACTGACATTAACTCATTTAAAGTACTAGTTTTTTTACAATATGCATTGGAATTTAAGAAGAAATACTACTCAACAAAATAACATTACAATAATCTAAACACAATGACAATGTTATCAGTTTCACTTATAATTTCTGTAAACTTCTTGAAACATGTCCCTGCAATCAATTTTAACTTGCATTTTGGCACATAGCAAAAATATACCAGATAGCTTCCTGTGTAGAGAATATATTTCTTCTGGTGGTGGACACAGGCGATGGTAGACTATGGTTGGAACGAGTTTCTGGATTCTTCTTGTAGTATCTTGGCCTCCAAAATCAAAAGCACCCGATTTTTCACTAAACACTTCACCAAGAATTAAGACACCATCGACATGGGCATCCTCCATAAGCTGAAAATGATGATAATTTACAGTATTGTTACATTCAGGATTTTTGAAATGTTCTCACAAGACTGTGTTAGTCAAATTAGAAAATCACCTTTGATTCATAGCCTGTGAGGAAGCCCATTTCACGGGACAGCTCTAAAACCTTCTTGCGATCTCCATCAGCAGCTCCTTTAATCACTTCAATATACTTATCCATGAATTCCTTTTTATAATCTCGAGTTGCTCCAAAATCGAGCAGAATAAGCTGAAAAAATTGAGTACATTTATTGCAAGGTTTTCACTATATAGACTAGGTAAATCAAAAAAAAGTAGAAAAGAAAAATGAACCAAACAAAACAACTTACTTGCTTTGTTTTAGGGTTGTAAAAGAAATTTGCCCAGTTAGGGTCAGTTTGCATGTATCGAAACTCAAAGAGTTCTAGTAAACAAAGATGCATTATGTTTCGGCAAATTTCTTCGCGAACAGACATGTCCAAATTAACACACTGATCAACAGGGATGCCTTCAATGAGTTCTGAAGTAAATATCTGCTTTGTGCAGAATTCATCTAGGTCCAATAGAAGGTAGATATTAAGTGGGTAAATAAAAAAAAGAAGAAAAACCAAAATGTAACAGAATGTTGTTTTTTGAAATCTTACCAATCACTTCAGGAATATAGAATTGTGGATAGGGTGCCAGTAGGTCACGGAACTTTTTCGTGCATTCCCTTTCTCTTTCATAATCAACTTCCCACCCAAGTTCTCGTTTGGCGACCTCCACAAGATTATCAATAAAAAGTCCTATGAAAGGTAGAGAACATATTTAAAATTTAAATGAAAAATTATTATAGATGTAATATAAGTGAATTACACTCACAGAACTTTTCATGATGTAACTGACCTTCAGGAAAAACATTCCACACTTTCAGTATGGAAACAAGATTATTGATATCACTGTCTATGCTTTCAGCAACACCTGGGTACTGTATTTTCATTGCTACAAGTCGCCCATCAGGCAGTTGGGCTTGGTGAACTTGACCAATTGAAGCTGCAGCAAAAGGTTGTGGTTCGAACATTTTTAATTTGTCCCTCCAGTCTTGTCCCAGTTCTTTAGCTATTACTTGCTGAAAAATAATTAATGATTCATTTTTTTTCTTACTCAGATCTCTGGACAAAAAATATTGTGGTTATTTTAAGTTCCTCACCTCCACTTGCCAAACAGGCATAAAGTCTGCAGTTTGCCTTACTCTCTCAAATGCAGCTGCCAGTTCTGGACTAATTACAGAGTTGTCTTGTATACTCAAGATCTGCCCAATTTTCAGTGCCGCACCTGTAGACACAGATTTGATTCACAGTCGTAAAGTCGTGAACAGTACCAAATTTTACCGAAGTTAAGAAAATTGAAAATGTATTGCCTTACCTCTAACTTTGCAGAGTGTATCAACTATTCTTTTTGCATTCGCAGGTGTAAGAAATAAGGAGTCTAAAGTTTCTCCATCTTTGTTTTTGGCAGCAAGTCCAAGGCCACGTCGTGCAGCTTCAGCTACAGTTCCCACTCCCAGGCCTGCAGCAAGTCCTCCAAACGACACAATTCGTTCCCATCTAGATGAGGGAACTTTCCTCTGCTTTGCTGAGTCTGCCAACTACAAAACAATTAAGTTAGATATTAAAATAAAATTGTATACATTTTTCCAAACTTGTATTTTCCATAGTCATTCAACAATACTTTACATACTGTTTGTTTTAGTTTAGTTGGAGTAGGACGAACTGTGGGTACAACTTTAGGGGTAACCATAGTTGAAGAAGCTTTGAATTTTTCAGCTGCTGCTGCTGCAAGTGTTGTTGACTCTCTAGGTTTTTGAAGAGGTTCCATTTCATTCTGTAGTACATGTTGCTTTGGTTTTTGCGTGACAGGTTCATCTTTGCCTCCCGTCCTGGCAGCATGAGTTGATATTGAGTCCAGCACAGCCTGTGCATTGGACTCAAACTTTTCTGCAATTATTTCTGGAGGATTGGGATCTCTAACCTCTAGGTGACAAAGGTTTGATTCATCAAACATATTTAGTTCACTGATTTCCCTTAATTCTTCATTTGTTAGCTTCCTAGTCTCTTCCAATTTTCTGGTGTCTTCTTTCACTGTTTCATCAGTTTTGATTTGGTATTAAATTAAAAAGAAAATTGTTGAAGGAGAAAATAAGCAGGAGTTTTAAATAAAAGATACAAAAAAAAACAACAAAAAAAACGTGCAATGTGGACACATTAGATAATTACCAGCTGGACTTCCCGCATAGGCAGCAAAAGTACGTATTCCTTCCGTTACCATGGATGTCCTTTCAACAATTTCTGTAATCTTTTTGGAAACATCACTCTATAATAAATAAAAGTGGATGAAGTATAATGAATGTATCCCAATGTGCATCAATAGCAAAAAGTTCAAATACAAATCCTACCTGTGGCTGATTAGGTTTTGGAGTAAGTGACTGCACAACAGTTGCACCCATCTTGCCACCTACGTTACCCACAGCATCTCGTACACTGGAATTCAGCCAAACCTCTTTGATTTGCGCTTCTTGGTAACGGGCAGCAGCATTGGCAACACACTGAAGACCGCGTATAACTCCCAGAACGTCTTGAGCAACACCTCGGGGCATTTTGGCCATCTGATAATAAAAGGCATGGGTTAAATTAGTCCAACAATTATGGTCAATTTGACATCCTAAAACCAATAAACATAACACCTCAAGAACTTTGTGCAAAAAGACGTGAACCAATGCTAATTTCTGGAGAGGTTATTGCCACAGGAAATGTCTTTCAAAGATATTATAGCACGGATTAAGTGACAGGGATTCACCGAGACTCACTTCTTAAACCTCTAAAGAAGAAGAATGAGAACGATGAGTGGTTGCAAATTTAATTATTACAATTCACTTGTACATATTTCGCAGGAGTCTTGGCAGATAAAAATACTGCTCGTCGTTCGACGGTTCGACCTTCACAAGTAGGTTATATAATTACTGTCAAGAGATGAGTGACGAAACCATGCGGTAAATACACATTCAGTTTCCATTCAAGCTATCTCTCATTATGAAACGTAGCTCCTACAGAGAAATTTTCTTCTTCAACAATAGGCTTGACGTCCTACACGCTGATCAAATTCGCAGGAGCGAAAGCAGAAGAAATCCGGCGTGATGGTGTTTTTGTTTATAATTTGGCTGGAGGCAGACGACAACTTTGCGGCCAGCCCATCGTGCAACCTGATTGGCTGAAGGGTGTGTGCGATACGTACGATACGTCACGATCATCTGTTTCTTGTTTTCATTGTCCTTTGTCCTGTAACTCCATACGATTTTCTCAAAATACTGGCGCTCTGGTGGTGTGGTGTGGACTTTTACCTCTTGCTGCCTCCCATTGGAAGGAAAACTCTGCGGTGTTTGGCATTTCCAATTATTTGGGGTGAAATATCCCTTGAGATTTCCAGGTAGTTTGTAGTTTGTTATGATTTGGCTAATACTGCCATCTTTGATTCCCATAACATAGTTAAGTTTCAGAACATTACCATGAAAATTCTACGTGATTTCCTATTCTTCCAAGCAATGAATCAGATGGGGAAAGCCTGCATACGATAGATCTAAAATAGGTTATTTGGTCTTCCTTTTTTGTTGACATAGCACTTAGTTAAAAGCAAACCTCACTATTCAGGTATTCTTTTGTGTAGAATGTTTTTATCTAATTTTATTAATTTATGAGTCACTGAGAAGGTATTTTTAAAGAATGGGAATGTTCAAATGGTCAGTTTAGCCTGCTTGTTCCTCATAAGTTACAAACTATGATTACGATTTGTCTCAACATATGCTTCCACAGTTTTAGTTTCAAGTTCTAGATTCCGTTTTATATTCAGGTAAAATAGTTATTTGTTTTGGTTTCTCTGTTAAAATAGTGCTCGTCTCTTTCAGATACTCAAAATGGGTCGCATATTCCTGGACCACATTGGTGGATCTCGCCTATTTTCCTGTGCAGCTTGTGACACAATTTTAACCAACAGAAGTGAGCTCATAAGTACAAGATTTACGGGGGCCACTGGACGAGCTTTTCTTTTCAATAGAGTCGTAAATCTGAGTTATAGGTGAGTTTCTTTCATTGCTTTTTTGTGTTAGGGAATCTTCTTTATTGTTGTGGATATTAGCTTTTTCCATTTCTATTACAGTGATGTGCAGGACCGGGTAATGCTCACTGGACGGCACATGGTGCGTGATGTATCATGCAAAAACTGTGAAGCTAAGTTGGGATGGATTTATGAATTCGCAACAGAGGAAAATCAAAGGTATAAAGAAGGACGAGTGATCTTGGAACGTGCCCTTGTCACAGAGAGTGATGGTATCGATGAACACATGGGAGATGATTGAGTGCAAGCCAACGGTGGGCAGTTAAATATGCCTGCCGTTGCTCAGAATTTCAATCTTCCGGCTGTGTTAGCTGTACCTAACAATGAGCAGGAAGCTGAAGCACAACTTGCTGAAGCAGCCATTGAAGATGCTTTTGCCCTTGGTGTAATACATCCAGTGCCTCTCCCTCCAGCCCCCTACGTACCTGCTGGTGCTGTGTATGAATCAGATGATGATTATGAAGACCCTGATCCACCTGTTGAGTTACTTGAATGAAAGAGGCTTGTTATTTATTCTACAAATTTGTTTGTACTGTAAATTTGACTTTATGTATATTGGAGGCTATTTTTAAGCAAATTTGATTCATTGATCCTATTAATTAATTACCTCTTATAGATTCTGATTCCTGTTCAGAAAACACTAGTCTGTTATGTACATTTTACTGGTCTGTTTTCAATCCTCTCTGACTTGAAGAAATTTCACAAAATTCACTATCATTTGTTTTTCTTTTACTCCTGTAAGAAATGAGCGCGTTTCTGGCTACAAAATTGTTTATAAGATTACTTGTCATGCTAAGGGCATTATCACTTTAATTGTTTGTAATATTTCCTCTCCCATGAACTTACAGTACATTGTTGTCTCCAAAAATATTGTTATTTAAACTCTATTGTGCACAAACAGAGTTCTTGTTATTATATACTTGATGATAGAAAATAGTGTTTATTGTTTGTTGTAAAAAAATTTTTGTGTAAATGGAAAAAAAAATTGATTACGTGGTTAGTAAACTTTGTAACTTTCATTTATTGAAAGAAATAATAGATGCATTATTTTACAATTGATTACGTCTCAAGGGTCTGGCAGAAAATTTGATTATTTTTTTGGTTTCATTAGCCTTCTAGCACTCTTCAGAAGGCATACTTACTAACACTGCCAAGGAAAGTTGCCGTTTCCAGATTTACTGTTAATTAAAATGTGATAAAGCTCAGATTGGGCAGTTTAATGCTCCCATTGTACAATTATTGGTCTACCCAAATTGTTTGCTGCAAATGGGTCAACCTCACCATTGGTTATACTTTTTTTTAACCCACTGGGGGAACTTAACTGACCCAATAAGTCAAATGTTATTGTGTTACTTTCATTTGTCTTTGTGATAATTACAATCCATTTTTGTTTATCACATATAAATACAAATCTTTGCTCTTAGTTTCATATTTTTGATTGGTTTTCTTTGCAACGAAGAGAAATCATCTCATTTTGTTTTTTTTTGGACAATACTGTGACTGTTAGTTTCACATTCAATTTAAACCTCTCAGTGTTCCGTACCAGCTCCAAGGCAGGTTCCTTTTGTCACAACTTGATTTTTAAAAGGAGAACATTGAAAAGTAGAACTCCTGCTGCTTATTATAATACATAGTTCCTTTCCAGAAAAACATTCTAAGAAGATTGTAATTTACAATAAAACATAAATTTCCCCCCTTTTTTTGGCAACATTCTGTGTTGAATAATTAAATTATTTCTTTGAACTGCCAATACTATTGATTTATGGTTGTAGTTAAGTTAGTTGCTACAAACTCAGAAAGTCTCTTGAGTTTTTTGAGTTACATTAATTGGGTTGCTGGTGTTGTGTTCCTTCTTACTGAGCTGTATTCCTTGTGTAAATACCTCCGTATCTTACTTCCTGTTTTTATTATAAACCATTTTTACCTTGTGTTTAATCACAAAAAATATATGAGTTTTAACATGATTCGCCAATTGTGTATGGTTATTGTCCACGACTTCCCACGTAGTCTGCCACAATGCACGGTGACATCTCCTGGTGTTAAGAAATATGACGCTATTGATGGCAAGACCGCCACCTTTGGGCAGCTTTCCCTGGTCGTGCCCGGGGTCCGTGACGCTGGGCGGGGCTTCGCATTTAGTCGTACGTGCCGGTAGGGCAGGGAGGGCTGGGGGCAGAGCCGCAGGGGTACCTCGTGGTGGGGTGGGTGAATCCGCCTTTATAAAAGGTGGACTGGACGCCTCGGGATCGTTTAAAACAGCCCGTGCGTCCTCAGCGGGCAAGGAACCAATCGACGGGAATCGGGACTGGAGACACCGGCGCCCCATACGTTACCAGAAGTTATCCTTCTAAAGGATATCGGATTTCTTATTCCTAAATTGACGTGGAGCACCCCGTCATGCTGGTCTCCAGGCTGCTGGTGGCGGTAGCCTTGCTCGCCGCCGTTGACGCTTGGAAGTGGAAAAGCCTCTTCGACGACAGCGACGCCGACAGTGTGGTGACCGTCGCTGCCGACGGGAGAGCAGTCTTTCCAGTTTTCAGGACTTACAGGTGAGTCTCCATATGTTCAATTCCAAACCAATCGGAAAATGTGAACTTCAGGACGGTTCTGAAGGGTTTTCCCGGGTTTTCCCATCGGCCAGGCGCAATTTTCGAAACTGATACTTATGCGTGACCACAATTTGATCAAACTCCTAATTTTAAAACCAAGGGATAACCTACTGTGCTCTCACAATGAATGTTAACTGGTACGGAGCGCCTGGTGGCGCTCAGGGTAAGCCTCCATCTTCACACAGCTGCTCAGCGGGTTGGCCTACCTAGATTGTCGCATGCGCTATCATGAGCGTAGCCTCTTTGCGTCAGCTGAGACCTCGTGGTTTTTCAAAGCCAGCCAAGCCCAAGCCTAGCCAGTCAGCACTACTGTTTTGGCCTTTATTTTCTCAAGCCGTTTGGTTTCCTTCCGAGCCGTTGCCCGTTGCCCCCCCCCTTTTTCCCCCGTAGCCAAAAAGGCGCCTAACATTCATGGTGGGCGGCCACCTTTCACATCATGAATGACTGGAGTTAAAGCCAGTCTGTCTCCATTGCAGCGGTTACAGGACGCTGCTCCTGCGGCTGCCGGTCTCGGCCTCCCCCGACTACGGCCCGGCCCTCGTCACCCGGGTGCGGCACGTGTACAGCTTGCCGCCGCCGCTGCCGCCGCCGCGCGCGCGGTACGGCCCGCCTGTGGCCGCCCCCAGCGCCGGCCCCGGAGCTGGGGCCAACCCCCACAGCGCGGCAGCAGCGACCGCGGCGGCAGTAGCGGCCTCCGTCGCTAGAACGATCCTAGAGGTAAGGTCAAAGTCCATGCTGCATGGATCTAGAAAGGTATAAATAGATGTCAGCGAGAAGTTGTCAAGTTAAGGCATCCCATCGGCTGCCCCGCCCCACGGGGTTGTGTGTATAGCATATCCCCTCTCTCTCATCCCGTGGTGTCCTCTTGGTGTCCAATCCACTTTAAATTGAACGTCTCATCTGTTGACCCAGGATCACGGTTTCGGGAGGAGTTTCGACCTGGCTCCCAGACTGCCCAACCCTGGTAAGTGTGCCTGACAAGGAGACTTAGGTAGGTGTAAATTCCCAATCTTCTTGAAACTCGGTATATTTGCTTCTTAGCCATGGAGATGACGACCGCCAGTCGAATTTTGGGCGGAAGTGTATCGGGGTACTTTATAGGAGCGTTTTATGAAAACAGTTTCAAAATTGGACATATGGAAGGCGGTCTCAAATCGAAAAATGGAAGGCGAGCTACCCGCCCCCCCCCCTAACATGAAAGTTTTGTTTTTTTGGAACTATAGGCCTTTATAGGGAGTTTTGACATATGAACTTCCGCACAAAATTTGACGCGCAATAGTCATCTACAGGGATAAGAAGCAAATATGCCGAGTTTGAACCTAATCGGGGACTTACACCAACCTAAATCTCCTTCTCCTTGTGAGTATCGCCGTGTGCGCAGCGTCCCAGGGAGGAAGGCAAAGTCAGCATGACATCGAAATGATGTCAAAATGACTTTTAGGGTCAATGTTGGGGACCGTTTTGACATCACGAAGACGTCAAAATGGTCCCCAATTTTGACCTTACAGGTCATTTTGATGTCATTTCGATGTCATGCTGACTTTGCCCTCCTCCCTGGGGTGCGCAGCCGCAATGAGCCGCCCTCTCAGCCGCTGTCTTTGTCTCCACCTCAGCCGGCCGCACCCTGTGGACCAACCAGAGGGACTTGAGCTCCTACTCGCCGCCTCCGCCCGCACAGGACCAGTGGGAAGGGCGAGGGGCGGCATCGTGGCGTCGCTGACTCCATCGAACTGCCGTACTACCACCTGCCAGCTGTCGTGTCAGCCGTCACCGATTAGGTCCTGGAACATTCGGAGTAGAGTGCCTTGTTACTGGACGAGTTTCATAAAACCAGAGCGCCATTCACTTGGTATACCTAAAAATAAGAAGAAAGTGACATGTAATCCTTGATACCAACTTTGAAAAATATTGCAAACCCGGTCTAATCTGAACTACCACGCAGGACTCAATTATTTTATCAAAACGGTTCCCTGAACTTGTCGGCTGGGTTGGGTTTACGTCCCTTCCTCCCTCCCTCTCCCATCCTTCGTTTCGCACTTACCACCGCCTTGATGGATACACTACAGCACGACAGCAAACAAAACCGCCTGCATTCTAAACGCACCGATGCAGCAGTGAGCGGCAGAAACGACATTATGAGACGCCGACAATCGCTGAGCGCCCCTCCTCCTCCTCTCGATTACTCCTGCCATCTCATTAGAGAACACGTCCTGCCACACGCATGTCGGACACACACACACACACACACACTCATCTCTGCTTATACGCTGTAAAGGTGTGCGACAACGCGTTTGCAAGGTAGGATCGTTGCTTGAGGCGTGATGCAACCAGGGAGGGGGGGGGGGATAGTGTCATATGCCAGTGCACCAATGATCAAGAAATTCCCACCCTAGGGAAATGAAGAAAAACTACCCGGCAATGTGGCGTCCGCAGAAGAGGGTCATAAGACTCTAACTTCCATACCAGCCGCTTTCTGGGCTGTGCTGCGCAGGCATGCGCCAGCTGTGCCGTGGCTGCGCCGCTGCGCCCGGCCGGGCACCAACTGGACAGGCGGACAGGTGTGGACAGGCGAAGGCTATTGTTTCGGCGTTTGGTGGACTGCATCGGCTGCGTCGGGAGTGGTCGCTCTCTGCCTCCCTCTCTCGCTCACCTCGCGGCCCTGGCGGAGATAAGAGACGTCGCCCTTGTCTCCTCCTCTCCTGAGCTGCGCTGCCCGCCGCACGCTGATCTAATGGCTGGGCGGCGTCCGGGTGTCGGCCGCCCTCTCGTCGCCGCACAGCCCCCCCCCCCTCA